ATCATAATAACTTGACATGCCTGACAAAGGAAAGCGTAATGCACCTGCGTACTAAGTGACCTCTGATTGGCTTAAATAGTCGTATCGAACTTAAACGTCTAAGAATCATTAACCATATTGATGCGATCGTAATATTGATTCATATGATTTTTAGACGCCATTTTTTGCATACTTACCTGACGCGGGAGGCACCGTGATCAAGTAGGCGGTCCTCTCAAGGCGAGGCCCTTTCATTGCACTTCGACTGGGTTGACCCTTGCGATTATCCCAAATGTGGATAACTCGAGCGTATAATTTCTGGTAGTGGGGACCTGCGTTCGCGCTCGTCCCCTTCTTAAGAAAGTATTATGAAAGTATAGATGCATTTTCCCGTAGGAAAGAAGAAGAGCACCCCCACGGACGGAAGTAAAATACGGATTTTACATCCAGACCATGTCCGAGTTATGATCGGAGACTTGTCGGACGGTGTCGCTGGAGCTGATGAAAGTGACGAGGATATGTCCCAGGCAGAAGAGGATGGGGAAGAAAATAGTGAAGAAGTATGTGTTAAGGGAACCGAAGAATAGCTCGCTCGCTAAAGAAGCGTTCTTCCGCTCTAATAATTATCCAACTGTATTACTCCTCAGAGAAGGCCTTTTTAACTGCTGCTACAATGATTTGTGCTTGCTCTCTCTCTCATTTATAGATCAAGCCTTGCCATGTGTTCACGTTCACATTTATAACCATTTATTAGACAGATCTCTCAAAGAAGGTTAAATTTAAATTGCGGGTGAAACAAACGCTAAGCAATTTTATAACGCTATACTGTCGTGGGACTGATATTGTTCGTGGCTTTAAAACTGTGCCGACACGTTGAGCGTTGCGTGACTCAACCGAGTAACCGGCTAGAACGCTGAGAGACTGAAAGTTCCCGTTTGGGCATTCAGTGAAAATTTGTTTTTTTGATTAGGAGGAATCGGAAGAGAGTGAGAAGGAAGACAAGAAAGGCTCGAAGAGGAGAGCAAAGGAAGATAAACAAGGGAAAACAGAAAAAGGTAAAGCGACAAAACCGAAGAGCAAGAAAGCTGAACAAGAACAAAAAGGCGGTGAAGAAGACATGGAGGACGAAGACGAAGAGGAAGGGAGTGGAGACGAAGATGACCCCTTTGACAACAAGGAGGGAGGGGACGAGTACATTTTGCTCCTGCACTCTTACAATAATGACAGAGCTACGCATATGATGGGGAAGAAAACCGTAAGTATCGAAAGCTGTATGAGATATATCATCCCATACTCATTTTCAATTATGGGATCAAAGGATTCGGCTAATTATTGGAACTAAAAACTTGCGAAACCTTTTATCGTCGAAAAGCACGGGAACAGTTAAGTGCAAAAAATAATCGCAGCGAAGTGAATAAACGCCCACAGGACTTTGAGCCGCGGAAAACGTTCAGGGTCGTTAGGTGGAGCTTCCTTTTTTTTTTTTTCAGTGTTTTCCGGTCAATATCTCTTCGTTAGCCCCTCTCCTACACACAAATAGAGATATTCTCGCTATTTTGTGACTTCGTATTCCCCATAAACGTGCCTCCATTATCACTACTATTTTTTTGTTTTGGCATCTAATGTTATTTTTGTTTCAGTCTTGCTCAACACTGAAGTTCCCCATTCGTTACAAGGGCGCCTTGCGTCAGATTTCAAGCGAGCGTGACGAGTTCATCACAGTAAGCAGCCTAGAACTTCCCGAGAAGGAGCGACTGTCAATGGTCAAGTCATTATGGAACGAAGGCTTGTTGGAATTGGAGTAGGAGGGAGTTCTAGTTGAAGTCGAGTCAGACCACCGTTGAGTTGGACACGCATGCGTTGAGTTCATTCAAATATTTTAAAACGAGAGGATTTTCCATGTTAACCACAAGAAATAGTTATCGTTGTGTTCTGCGTGATACACATACTACTGTTGTCAAAACTGAGAGAAAATCTGTTGTGTTGTGAATAACCAAACATTAAGGCTTCCTTAAAGAGTCTCAAACTGTCTTCAGTTCGGTTATAAAGTTGATGAATTAAAAAAGGAATAGAATTGGAAAACGACGTAAGATGGTAGCATTTACAGATAAAATTGATACGAGTTAAAGGTCCTGGCTGTATTTGTCTGTGTTTTGACCCGGAATGCCACTTTCATACACACTCAGTTATCCTGAGGCACAGTTCTCCCGGCAGATGTTGCAACGCCATCACCTCGCTTCTGGGATGTTGTTTCTTGTGTCTATGTTATTGTTTTAAGCAAGACGTGTTTGAATGTTGTAGATACTTCATAAAGAAGTTAAGGAAAATAACTGTTCGAAATTAATTGAATAAATAAAGGGAAAAATTACTTTTATCACGATCATGTCAAACTCAAGCTAGTGGGTGGAGTTGGCCCTTCAACAGGCAACAGATTTTTCAAAAAAATGATGCCATCATCTTGAGTAATGATTACTGCTCTCTACAGAATTGATATTTTGAAGTGGAAACTTGAGTATGTCAATTATCAGTGTATCAAATGCCTGTAGTAAATAATAGTATAGGGAACGGAAAAAATTGACCTTCATGGGCCCTTCTTCACTGCCTTAAGGAATCATTTGACGTTATTTCCGTCCCCAGATAACAGTTTCACTGGACATCGTTCAACTTCATGAGACATGATTTAACAACTGCACACCATCCACTGCCGCAAGACATCGTTCAACTTCAGAAGACGTCTTCCACATCGCTGGAGCTCAACCACGTTATTCGATGATTACGTCATTGACACGCGCATTTTTAGTTAACGTTATTAACTCCTTTGATAAAACGAAACTATGTTGTGCATTCCCAGCTTTCTCACGTAACGTATTGTTGCGTTAGTATCTCGTGCGTTCCAAATTATCTCCTGCAATTGATTGTCTCGTTAGTATCTTGCCATTCAGTTTCCTTCCGCTTTTTATCTCGCGCATTCCCTGTTTTCTCTTGTATTCTATTGTAACAACAGTTTCTCCTCCATTTTAAGTTTACTATTGTCTTCGCTTGCTACATCACTATCTCTGCACTCGCATTTTTCTCCCGTAATAGATTGTTACGTTAGTATTTGGCACATTCTTGATTTTCTCCTGTAGTAGATTGTTTCGGTAGTATCTTTCACAATGTCAGTTTTCTCCCGTTTTTAGTTTTTTGTGTGTGTGGCATCTCGCGCATTTTCGGTTTTCTTCTGTCACGGATGGTTACGTTTAGTTTCTCACGCATTACCAGCTTTCTTTTGTAGTGGATTGTTACGTTAGTATCTCGCACTTTTCAAATATTTTTTGGAATTGATTGTTACGCGAGTGTCTAACGCAATCTGAGTTTCTACGTTAGTATCTTGCCTCTTTTTAGTTTTCCCTTGTAACAAATTGTTACGTCAGTATCATGTATTTTCAGTTTTTTCCTGTAACAGGCTGTTATGCGTATTCTTAGTTTTCCTTTGTGATGGATTGCTACGTTAGTGTCACGTGCATTCCCAGTTTTCTACTGTAATAGAATGTGTTACGTTGGTGCCTCGCGTATTCATAGTTTTCCGCCCTTGTGATGAATTGTTACGTTAGTATCTCACGTTTTCTCTTTTTGTAATGGATTGTTACGTTAGTAGATCGCGCATTATCAGTTTTGTCCTTTAATGGATTGTTACGTTATTAACTACAGGGCCTGTAATAGCTTATTACGTCAGTATCTCGCGTATTCTCAGTTTTTCCTTGTAAGGGATAGTTACGTCAGTATTTCGTGTATTCTCAACTTTCCCTTGAAATGGATTGTTACGTAAACAGCTCGCGCATTCTCAGCTTTCTCTTGACATGGATTGTTACGTTAATATCTCGCGCATTGTCAGCTGTCCCTTGAAATGGATTGTTACGTTAATATCTCGCGCATTTTCAACTTTCTCTTGAAATGGATTGTTACGTTAATATCTCGCGCATTCTCAACTTTCTCTTGAAATGGATTGTTACGTTAATATCCCGCGTATTCTCAGTTCTCTCTTGAAATGGATTGTTACGTTAATATCTCGCGCATTCTCAGTTTTCCGTTGAAATGGATTGTTACGTTGACATTTAGCGCATTCTCAACTTTCTTGAAATGGATTGTTACGTTATTTCGCCGCGCATTCTCAATTTTCTCCCGTTTTTGTTTTTCACATTTAGCATCTCGCGCATTTTAAGTATTGTCCTGTGTTCGGTCATTACGTTTAACAATTGGTTCATACGTCAGCGTGCGTTCATCGAGATATGAAGCACGCGGAAAGTTTGGAGAGCACAAAACACGAGCAACTCTAGCTTCTTGAGTGCTCTCCAAACTTCCCAAGTGCTTCATATCTCGATGAACGCACAGATGACGTATGAACCAATTGTTTTATAACATTTTCAACCCGAAGGAAAAATTTTTTTTCTCGGGGGATTTGTTTGCTGACGTCATGAGCATGCACAATAGGAATATGAAGCACGCTCGCGCAATTGAATTTGATTAGACAAAGTTACTAGCTATGTTATAATAGTGCTTAGCGCATGGTAATTTTCTTCCTGTTTTCGATTCTTACACTTTATTTTTTTTCAGTGAAATGAGGGTAAATTATGTGAAATGACAATAAATGATGCGCAATGACGATGAATGATGCCACATGACAAGTAATGATGGTAAATGCAAAATGAAGGTGAATGATGTGGACGATGAATTAGATCAAATGACGGTAATTGAAGTCGAGTGACGGTGAATGACGGTGATAGATTTGTAATGACGGCGAAAGATGTGAAATGACTGTTAATAATGTGAAATGATCCCGGACTCTTCTTCCGCAACAATATTAAGTCAGAGATGGGGTGTGACACTCCGAATTCCGTTATGATCATATGGAACCCCGGGAGGACAAATAACCTGGATAAAAAATGATATCTATGTAATAAAGGTCTCCGAGCAAATTTGTTGCCACAGTTTTGAAATGTTTGTATATCAGTTTGTATGATGTATATAACTAGTAGGTTTTAACAGAAATGTTTTTATTCTCTCGGTTCCTGACTCATGCTTGATCTGAACACATAGTAAAACCACATTCTCAAAGTACAGCTTAATGCCTAACAAATTCCCACAGCCACCACTCAAGTCTAACAAGTTTAAAACATCTTGAGCCCACAGCACATGCTCTTTTTGATTCCAAAATCTTTAAGGACTGTTATCCAGGCTCTGTATTACCGTGGAAAGCAACCTATGGGAGAATTTTACGACACCCTTTCATTTATTAGACGTTGTAATGAACAGTTAAGCTACGTCACAACTATTTCCGGATTTAATGGAATGTTTCCATGAAGTGAAACTCTTGAAAATTAACTGAGAAATTACGTGCACTATGACGAATGGTGAAAAATGTATCGTTTCTTGCACGGGTAAACCCGTGGTAGATTGGGAGGACACCTGAAAACTTTTCGAATGTTTTCACAACACCCCGAGCGGGTAAAATGGCCTTGTACAAACCGTTAGAAAGTTCACTTTGCTGCTTACGAGGGTAGAAAAATACGTAAGAATAAATTAATAAGGAAAAAGGATGGAGGAGATTATCACGGATTGTAAATGACGAATTAATTTGTTTGGGTCGGTGGGATAGACAGGGAACTGGAAACTAGGAAATGATCACTGACGAATTTCCTATTCGTTTCATGGTATATTTGTGTCACCTTTCACTAAACTATTAGATGTCCATCTACATTATCATTTGTGTAGATCGTGGAATGAAATATTAAGTTTTTTTACACCCGTCTAGACAAATCAAAGAAGAACTCACCTGTTGGATGGAAGACGTTCGCGCACAGATTGCAGTTCATCTGAAAAGGAGAAACATTATAGACATTTTAATTACTTCATATACGACAACCTGAAAAGCATTTCCCTGCAGTGCTACAGGTGCCTTTTTGCAGCCACCTTGAAAATTTTTTCCCAGTAGAAATCGTTGATGACTTGTTGATCATTCTGTCACCCATAAATCCACTGCACGGGGAACTAGGTAATGCAGCTCCACCAGAGCTTTACTTGTTCCCACCTTCCACAACGAGGACAGGGGATTGGACTTTGGGATACAAAAACTTTTCATTATGACTAAAAAATTGCGACTAGCTGCAAGCAGGCAAATTCATGAACAATTTTAGAGATATTGGTTGAAGCACCAACTACACAAATCAGATGCAAGCTTTAGTTAAGTTCCATAAAATTTGAGATTATTTTCACATATTACCTGTGTTGTAAATACCCAAACACAATTTACACTGGTAATAAAGGATACCAACCTTTGGCAGCAGAAAGGCATCCTGTTGCCATAGCAACTTGTAAAATTTGAGCAAATCTATCCATTGACAACTGGACTTGTTGTGCAATGATGCTGTGACTAAATTCTACAGTTGCTAACTTGTCTATGAGTTTTTTCATGTCTTGAGAGAGTTCTTTCAGATCTGTTCCTTTGATAAGATGCTGACTATCTGACTCATCCATAACTTCTCCAGGTTCCAGTTCCATTTCATCTTGTGGATCTTCTTTATCTTTACCAGCCAGTAGAAAAGCTTGAATTATAGCCAGGTGAAGCTGAGAGCATAACACTCTAGAATCCTTATACACATGTAGGTTGCTTGTGAAGCCATTTAAATGTAATGGCATCAATACTACCCAACGCAGTAAGCCTAACACAGGACCTATGGGGAGAGAAGTGGACTCTGGGGGAGCTACTGATCCTCGCAAACTTCCAACTGTTAGGAGATTGGAAGGACAAGTCATAATACATAGTTCAGGGTTTTCACTGACCCAAGATGCTACAACTCTAAGGAGAGCCAAGGGAGGTCGATTTGATGACCCAACTGATAAGCTTTCACCTGAAAACAAAAGTGGCATGTTAAAAGCAGGAGCAGTTATTATAACTGTGTTTTCTTGGATTGAAAGCTTGTATGACAAGGATTCATTGTTTTGTTGAAAATACAGAAAGAGAAAATTAACTTGTTGGTAAGAAGTTTTCATCTCAGTAAACTAAATACACAAATTTAAAGTTCCTTTATTATATCACATAGACTATATATCGAAAAGGAACAAAGTAAGAGTTTGGATGAAGGACAGAAGCATAACAAAAAACAACTAGTGGTGTAATCTCCTGCCAAACAGGTTTTATTCATAATCGTAGCTGCCTTGGTTCAGTTTAGGTTTATCACTTCTTACACAATTTTTTTTCTCACCTTGCTTATTATCTGAACTAACAACAGGATACAAACTAATTAGCGCAATCATCAACTGACAGGCCATCTGTGGGGAGTGACATGCAAGGATCTGAAGGAATGGCAGTGAAGCTGGCACAAGACATGTGTAGTCTTCTACAATAGATGATGTCACTTTTAACACTAGACTAGGCAGGTGGTGATGTCTCTAATGAAGAAAAGGCACAATCAGAAAAAAGGCATGCATTGAAACAAAAACAGTTTAAAAGAGGTGCAACAGTGTTTAATAAAGAATTTGAAGGAATGTCACAAGCCAGTGCCAAAGGAAAGGTTTGAGTTCTCAGTTAGGAATGTAAATTTACTCCCTCTGAATTTCTGATTCAATGGTCAGCCTACTGACCTATGGGGACCTTGTTGATTGATCAGGGCATATTCTAATTTCATAAGTCAACTTCACAGTTATCACAGGGATTGATCGGTAATGTCAAAAGTACCTTGCACTGAGACAAAAAAAAAAAGAAGATTATAATGATTTGTGATATGAATTTCTGAGTTTGGTCTTGAATAAAAAAAAAAGTGTTGTTTGCTCAAGAGAGCATAACACTGTGGTTCTTGAAAAACCAATGAGGCAAGCTCAAAGCAATGACAAAAAGCTAACCATCTAACCTCAGGATTTGTAAGAGCACTTGAGCCCTTTTCAAAAAAAATACACCATCATTTTTTTCTGCCAATTACAGTATACAAAATCAAAATTTGAATTGTTATAAAGAAGTCTTGTTTTCATCTTTAAATAAACAATATGAGGAAATCTTTTAGGCCAGCTTTGGGTGTGTAGAAGGGAGAAAAAAAAGAGGATTGAAAAGTGATACAAACCTGCATCCATGTGGCCATTGATTCTAACAAAAGGTTGCATTGCAATGCCACAGCCATAGAGATTAGCTTTGTAAGAATTTCAACTTTCCTTTCAACCTAAGAAGTTGCACAATTCCCAAAGGAGAGTATAAATTACACATAATCAAAATGAAGTTAACCATACAGATTGAAATATTGTACTAAATCCTTTAAATGCTGTGGTGTTGCATACATCTTTAGCCTTTCCGTTTAAGTGTTCATGCAAGGGTGGTACTTATTTCAAAATTGTATTTCTTAACTCACTGACAACAATCAACAACTGCTCTATTCTATCACATGTACATAGAAAAGCCCTCAGTCAATAATTATTACTATGTTTTAAATTATCACCTGATGTTCATACAACAACCTGTATATTGTTTGAAATGACACAAAACTTAAAAAACAAATTACCACAGTGACTATAAACATTTATTCTTTCTTTGACATGAATCCTACCTTTCCATCTTTGATATCTTGACTTGATATTCCAAACAACAGATAAAACACTCCGCATCTTACAATATCAGATGGTTGGTCTTGAAAGCAGGAACATATAACTTCTAAGAGCTGAAGTTCCTGAATGGCAGACAAAGGTTTTGAGCCAGAACCTTTGCTGTGAAATATGTATAAGTCAACAACATCATCAAGAAATGCCGAGAGATAAAGTCCTGGGTTTGGAGGTGTGTCTGGTGCATAAGCTTGGAAATATTTCTCTAACATAAGAATGACATCTCTACTACATTCTGGAAACTGAGAACAACTCAAAAGGTGCTTGACATAAGAAACTTTCCCAGGGATATCTGCCTTCCATGATGCTATATCTGTAAAATAAATAAACAAAATCAAGTCAGTTGATTGTGTAGTAAAAGATTCATCTGGTTGAGAGTATAATAATTCTAAAAGTGATTGTTGTCAGCAGACTGATGTTTAGACAACCTATATTCTAGTCTGCTAGGTATGGATGGGCCGATACAGTTTTTCGGAATCAATATGATACCAATTACGATACTGATATTACTACTTATACTGTGACCTCAGTGAGTTGCATGGTAAGTCATGTGATTTGATTGCCAACATACAGGGTTATAGAGTTATCTTGCACTGTTAATGTTACGCAGTGTTCAGTACTCTACAGAAGAGTGAACAAGACAGTCAAAAATTTAAAACTGGATTAATGACCTATTTAAGTTGAAACTCACAGTTTTTGATTAGTTCACTGTTGCAGCAGTAACACACTACTAAGATGGTACACTGCAGTGATCATTGCCCAATCTTGAGCCCAGAGTCTCTTTGGCTCCTTGTCAGTAGTTGGTCATGAGAGTGAGATAAAGTGTGGGCAGGTCACATACAGTATCATAAACATCAATACTTTTTGCTAGTATTTAACAATTGGTTCATACGTCAGCGTGCTTTCATTGAGATATGAAGCACACAGGAAGTTTAGAGAGCACGAAAGATGTGTAAGAGTAGCTCTTGGCTACACCTCGAGTGCTAGCTTCTTGAGTGCTCTCCAAACTTCCCGAGTGCTTCATATCTCGATGAATGCACAGCTGATGTATGAACCAATTATTTTATAACATTTTCAAGCCGATGGTTTAAATGTTGTAAAAGGGTTAATATTCCCTCTGCTACGATTCTGCGCATTGATAATTTTGTTTCAGGAAAACATTTCTCTACGCTGTAAATGATCTTGTCTTAGATTGGTCAAAAAACTGACAGCTGAATTCATGTGTGTAAATGAACTTTATTATCTGATTGAATACAAAATTCTTGAGGGATTTGTTTGCTGACATCATGAGCGTGCACAATAGGAATTGATTAGACAAATTTACACACTGTGTTATAATGATATTTTCTGAGTAGACTTCGGTATTGCTGGCATCTAATATTTGGTATCACTACTGGCCCATCCTTACTGCTAAGAATGGTAGTACTCAATGGGATGTCATGAGTGCAAAGGTAATTTTTCCATGCAAAATGTAAGACAACAAAGGAAAAAATTGCGTGTTCATTTGCCATCCTCTGAAGCCAGGCCTGTGTCCAAGTCATCTTCAGAGTCCCAGTCCCAACTTTTGTTAAGGTTGTATATTCCCGTTCGGGATTATTCTGGACCCAACAATTCGACTAAATGATCAAATGTTTATCCTGAGTTCGAACCATTGCACCAAAGTCAAATCAGGCGACACTGACATTTACCGACCAGTGCAAGACTTGAATTTTAGCAGTCTTAAAAGGTATTGATACAGGCAAGCGGGGATTATAGTAGGTCCAAATCAGCTTGAAAGTTGCGTATTCTTGACCTGCTTTACTAAATAAAGTTAAGTATGTTAAGTATGTATGTATGGATCGATTTCTTAGAGAAATACCTTAACCCTGAAAGCTATACCCTCATAAATTCAAAATAGGTTGCAAGACAAAAAAGTGGTTCTTTTCTGATCTTCGATGTCCGTCATGGGTGTTCACTAAATTTGAAGCTCGGCCTTTATGCACAGATGCCTTCGTATGAGGTCATGAGGTGAACACGTCATTTATCACTAAAAAATGTACAGACACAATTATACGATGTTTTTACACAATCTACTGTTTACTTACTCCAAGTGTCTTCTTCATATTCGTTCATGGTGGGGAAAAAAAGAAAATTTTTACAGGTCCTCTTATACTTTATCCCTTGGCGGCCATGTTTGCCTAAGCAACCTGGCTTTTCCATTGAAACCGAGTACACTTTGGGCCAGCCAGGCTGCGCAAAGCCTCGCTTTAGTGTTGCCTCGTTACGGGCCAATGCAAGTCCAATAGGGTCAGTTAATGTGCAAAAAGCTTCTCTGTAGTTTACTGAACTAAACACTTGGGCATGATTATTTTTAAAACAAAGTTTAGCCATTGTTCAACAAAACCACGTCCTAAAAAGTCCTCAATTTAGCTGAATCTTGCATCTGAACATTCATCTTTGTGACAGCGTCAAGAGGGCTTGTGTTTGAATCCATGTTATTAATGAGAGATGGGTATATCACTCCAGTCGAAGTGAGAGTCGACGCGGAGCAACGAAGGGTTTTTAGTGATATTTTCCCCAACGGCGCCAAAACGAGGTGTAACCAGGAAGAAAAAGAAAACAAAGCTCATGGCGACGCGGGCCAAATACCTACAGCCTGGATAGTTGGATAAGATAACTTGACCATCTATGATGACTTTAAAATATGAGAAAATGCAATGTCTAAAGACAATTTATTACATGCTTTTCCATAGCTCACAAAAAAAAAAGAAACCCCAACTCTCCTTTTCTCCACCCCCCCCCCCCAAAAAAAGAGAGCAAACTCAGAAGTTGTAAACTCTACTTAAATTGAGGCGAAGGCTTTAAAAAATCCTTCTAACTCGTTCCTCATCGAATATATATCGATTGATGAACTGCCTACGGAAGCTAATCTAGCTGTGGGGCTGGCTGGATTAATAACTTGTTTTAATTGTTCTCCATACATTTCCTAGGGTGCAGACAAAAATAATTTGTTGGTGATCGTTTCCTATATTCTCATGACTTCAATGCTTGATTCAAGAGTGATGTTGTTGGGGGAAATGAGATTCTTAACCAGGGACCACGCAGCAAGTTTTTGAGTGGGGAGGGAGGGGGGGGCTATTTTTGGCTCCGTTATTTTTGTTAAATTACTTTTTGTTAACTTTATTTTTATTTTTGCAAAACAGTGGGGGAGGGGGCCAAAGCCCCCCAGCCCCTCCCTCTGCGCGGTCCCTGTTAACACTCTTAAAGGTCAAAGAGTGGGGAGTATAGTTTCAGAGAAACTTGACAAAATGTAAAGGTGATTCTGTAGTCTGATCGTCGACTTACAACAACTATATACTTGAATCTGATTATGATTTCCGCTCAGGTTGTTGAAATGTCATTAACCTCTACCGACTGCAGTCCTTCTCAAGAATACACTCACCCAGACTGGATCAGAAAACACTTAATGTTACCCCCGGGTTCAAACCATTTATTGTAAAATGATGAGGGTAACCCAAAACAGAGCTCTATTCGTCCACGGAGGAATAGTGTTACAGAGCACATAAAAATTATAAATTGAGTGGCAAAAGTGATCTAGGATTGGTTTATTTTTACTTTACTTTACTCTGTGATTGGTTTTTATAAATATGCACCGCCATCTCAACCAATCAGATGCAAAACTAAAACTAATCACGACTTCATCATTGTAAAACTATAGGTTTCAAAATAGACCGATCAGGACGATCCTTTGAGATTTCCTTCATCAAACAGAACTCAGTTATTTGTTGCTGACTTCAACTTTATAACTTCCAACTCGTCCTAACTTGAGGAACTCCACAGTTTTTGTTTTAGAATTTGGAAAAGGGTAAAGAACAATTAATTAACAATTAAAGTAAACCTTTTTAACTTTTTCCCGTCATGTTTGCCCCTTTCTATTGCAAACAGGTACTCTGTGAAATACAGAACTACCATTATCGTGCAAACTACGTTGGAAATGACGTGGTATCGCCACTGTTT